TATATTTCGAAACTAACTTATGTTATTATTCCTTCGTAATGTGGTGTAATGTTTCTTCCCCTTGATATAACCATATTTTGCATACAATTTAACACGAGAAATATTTCAAAGTTAAAATAATTTTAGTGAAACAAATTTCATCATTAAAACAATGATAATAGTTCTCAATTGGTTTTATTACACTTTGATGTCATTATAACTTGAGAAAATACTTTCCTTATTCAATGTATTCTTGTTAATTTATATAGTTTTATGACTGTACAATTATTGGAAATGTTACTTTTGATACATAAATTGAACATCAATTGTAACTCATCATTTTTACCTTCGACCATGTTTATACATGTATATGATCATTCAGTGAATGATTCATAGCCTTATCTCAATCGAAGCTGCACAAATTCAACTTTCTGATCATCACTGATACACTCAGAGGTACTAAATATGTTTGCAATTCCTGATTTTAATTCTGTAACACAGTTAACATTAAATTAGTTACTGAAATTAATCCAAACATCTTGGTTATATTTATTGTTTATAAAAGCGTTGGCGGAAATATGTTTACATAATGAACTTACACAAAATTCATAATTGTAAATGAAACTATCACGAATTGAACTGACCGTCATCATGGACTGAGATTAGCGTGAATACTACAGAAAAGCAGGTCTATTATAGTGTGAAGCCAGTGATCCATATATCTAACTTCTGTCAATTTATAACATAGCACAACCATTATCTAATTTCATCAATCACATTTGTCTCAATTACGATCTGCTAATTAGTGGCAAGTTGTGGAAGGTGAATATCTGAAGTTTTATTAGGAAATTGCGATTAGTGACGTTCAAAATTGGGACAGATACAACCAATGACGTTGAGAAACAATCGCGGTTTACCGCTAATTGATTGGAGTTGCGAATATCGACTGTTCTGTTCCAAGTCAATGTTCTTAAGGTTAAGTGTTCATCATGGGTTGAATCGTGTGGCGTCTTGAGTATACACTACTAAAGAGCCTCAGACTGTGACGAAACAAGCTGTCCAGTACATACTTTAAATTCAACTTCTCTGCGCAGACCATCGAACTAGATTAGTATTTTTAATCTTAGATAGTTAAATTTTCTAATACGTAATAGAGAATGTAACTGGTTGTTTTTGCAACAAAAAATAAATTATATAATCTGTTTTATTCAGTTATCTCCATTTACAGATTTTTAAAACACAAAAACATCGTATTTCATAGCTTTTTACCTGTAAATATCTACACCTTATACCAATACTCCGTTTATCACATAGATTACTTTGACTTGTTTCCTTCATTTTGTAGAGTGGAAGTGGAAATCAACCGAATACTTTACAATATCCAGATGATTCTCTCTCCCAAACTTACAAGCAGTCATCGAGTCGATTCAATAATATGTTTACTGACGACCTTCAAAGTAAAAACGATCCTCGTATGTACGGTTCTGTTATGAATGCTGATACTAAAAGAACAGGAATTAATCAAGGTACAGATTCAAATAGGTACTATGATCGAAAATCTGCACAACAATGGTCACAGAAATCTAGTGGGCGCAATAATTGGGGTAATGTTGATCATCAAAGAAATAAATGGAAATCTAGTGGTTCCACAGACTTCAACATACCAATTTTTCAAGAACTCACAACCGAATTGGGACACTTAACAACGGAAATGACGACAACAACAACTATGACGACGACGTTTTCTCCAACTACTGTTACAGCTTCCGCTGTGTTACTAACTAATGCCACGAGATTAGTTACAACATCAAGTGCATTAGAAAAACCAAGTGATTTATCATCACTGGAAGTGAAGGATATTGTTACAGAAAGTGTTACAAGACAAACACCTCTTACTGTCCGGACAGATTCTGCATTAGATAGGCATCCACAAACTACAACACAACGTTACATAGACCCAACGTTGAAATCAGGCACATACACGGAATCACTTTTACCGTCAACTGACCAATCAAGCAATATTGGATTTTTGCCAGACGATGAGGACAATACTCAAGTGATCTCAAGACAAATGCCTTATCAAACACCTGGTTCTCAAAATATTAATTCTTGGCATCAAACCTCTGAGGTTTCTCAACGTTTTGGCGAAGTGAGTTTTTGAATGTTTGAATATCGAAGACAACACTTATACAGTTTATTCTCTTTCATTCCTTATGACAGATCATGAGACAGTAAAAGTGTATTCTGTGTACTTTAGCTTATAATATTTATCTATGTGGTGCATATGATTTCGATACAACTGTTCGTTCTGTTCCAGCATCTTTATCCTGGACTATTATAAACTGTCTGTAAAATATTAATAGGTTTCATAGGATCAGTATTTTAACTTGGCGACCGACCGAGTCGATTAAGGTCATGACATCTAATATTTCAGTAATGTAACAGCTAGTTATGTCCTCAGGGAAATAACATGAAAACACCTAATTATTTCATACCAGTTTCGCGGTACCGATATGATGTGGTAACCTGAAGCGATACATATATGTTCCAGGTTCTGCTTGACTGAGTAGTCAAGTACTGAATGTTTTTATATTAATCTATGATTACCAATAAACCCTTCACTTTGTAACAAGTTTGATATTACTAAGTTAAAATACGTTTTGTCTGTGTGGTATAATGTATATTTTTAAAACTAGCCACGTTAAACATCTAATGTAGTATTCTTTTTATGTGTAACCACATATATATATATCGCTAACAAAATTTGGCAACTTTCCTTTGAATAATTTTTAATTCTTATTAGCGACTTGTGTGGTATACAGAATACACTTCAAAACGTTATTATATAAGGCTTATTCGTAAACAACATGTCGCTTATTGAACAGTCTTTAAGTTTCATTTATTTTTGCACATTTAGTAGTCTTAAAATTAGAAGCTGGTTTTCGTGGAATCTATCTACGTGTAAGTGATTCAGCTCTCCACCTGGAAATCTGAATTATGTGACTATACAGTAAAACACTATAGATATTGTTCAACATGCTTCTTACGTACAATATAGTACGAAATATAATATTGTCTTCCCATTCTAATTAGTCAGAATCTGAATAGGAAAACTTATCTACCTAAATGTTGTGTAAATTTCACCAGTGCAATAAAAAATAATGTGAATGAATAGCTAGCGATCACAACAATCTGTTACCTCAAAATGTTAAACTAAGATGCTTCTCGAGGTTCTAGGTCTTTTGGTTAAAAGACAAGATTAAAGCAGTTGTGCTACCCTGCCGTATTTTACATTGCTAAGCTTATAGTTCACAGTAGCGAATGATACTACAAGTAAACGTAACCGCTCATAAATGCATCATAAATTAAACTAGTTACCAAGGATTTCACTGGTTCCGGAACATACGTTTATTAGATACCATATCACGTGACCTGATGCACTGCTTTATTTTTATTTATAGGGCTCCGGAAATCGAGGCAGTGGTAAAGCACCATCAGTCCTTACACCACAATATCAAAGGTCCCGAGATTTATGGCCACAGTCCGGCAGAGAATCGGCAATCCCCAACGCCGCAGATACGCGTTACACTGAAGACTTTATTGGTCCCCAACCAGAAAAAAATTTAGCTTTCTATCCAAGCACGCAAGAGCCAGAAAATCGAGGGGATGAAGAAGCTTGGAACGTTTCTCCCGATAAGTTAGCTTCAGGGTTTCTGGAAGGAGTTAGTGGAATGGGCCCCAACATAGAGTGGAATGAGGACAAAAACGATCACCACAGTAAGTGTCTTAAACCTGTTGTGATACACATAATTTGGGATGAACTTAGTATCTGTTAATTCTTCAAACGAACAAACTACTTTTGTTTTGTTTGCTCGTTATTATAGGAGCAGATAATTTTCATGTCCAGTTATTTATTATTTCGCACGTAGGGCCGATGACTTAATTAACAGTCATTTGGCATCCAACGAACAACAACTGAAACCTTAACCCGTATCGGAACTTGAGTTTCTTTAGACCAATTTCCAAGACGAAGTTGTCAAACAAACCTTTTCTCTGTTGTTCAGCAGTTTGTTGTGTGACTCAATTCGCACATTAATATAGAGAAAGTTCTTAACCACACATCAACATAAATTGGAAATCACAATGTGCGTAGAATTACTCCATAAGTGAAAGATTTGTAATTTTTTAACATTAACTTAAGAAAGGCAATAATAATTTAAACCTTGAACGGAGAACATGAGCATGAAATAATCTGAATGCCTAATAATTAATTCCAAGCTCTCTCATGATGTATCCTGTTACAACAATATCAGTTTCCAATTTTTGTTAATCTGAACCGAATTTTTTTTTCATTTCAGCAGGCTCGTCACAGTGGCAAGGTGCATCGGGAAGTAGTAGAAGTGGCAACACAGTTCCTGAGGATACATCCATACTGCATCCCCCAACTCAGCCAACGCAACCACCTATTCCACCGCGGGTCGATAATATTCCGGAGACCCTTCCACAACCACCCCTGCCACCCCCAGAAGTGTGGGTACCAGCAAAGTTAAGCCCCGGACAGCCGGTGCCACCCATATTGCTAATACGAGAATATAGTGTTGAAGGTCCCCTATACGAAAAGGAAGACACTGTCTCTCATACCTACAACTCAGCATCCCACCAACAGTTAATCACGTCTATATTTTTACCTCTAATCATTATATTTATCCTTTAAACCGAACAATGACTTTCTCAGTTACATTTTCTTGAAATGTACATAGGCACATTTGATAGCCTTTGCTCAAAATGTATTTACATGTATCTTGTTAACATTTTGAATTGCTTGTGTTCTCTTAATATTCATTTTTACTCCATCGATCTAAAGCTTTGCATTTATACAAGGTCACATGTTTAAAAATATATATCCTACACAGACCTAAACTCGCATTTACATCTTTTTCAGAGGATCTAAGCATTAAATAAAGGTGACTTGGCGTAACAAAATCATTCCTTGCATTTGAAAAAAAAGAAAGACGTCATTAGTATAATATAATGAGGTTATATTTCGACGTTTGTTAAAGGGTCTTCTGATGCAACTGTGGAAGCTCCATTTATAGGAACCCACGGTTTATTTGAATCCAGAACACAACGGAAGATCAGTGGACCAAGTCCAAACCAACTTAGGGAGTTAGGACAGTGAAGCCTCAAGCGGTGCACAGCAATCTGACCTTCAAAGTATGTTGCAGGTTCTTGCTCAGGTGTTGTGGACCCAGCTCGAATTTCTTCAGATGTTATTTGCGTATTCACAAAAGCTGGGCGAACGTACGAGAAAGGATCTATAGTCAGGTAACCCCTTTCTGGGTTGAATACGTTAGTTATTTCATCTGAACCTACACAGTCTAGGCGTAAAAGTCTTAACGCAGGAACAGGTCCACGTGCTTTCCAACTTATACGAGCAGGATTCATTTGGTTGGTTTTGATATTGAAGATAACACCCAAAATAGCAGGTTGTGATTTTCCACCACTAGAGCTAAGGATGTTATTTTCACCGACACAGCATACCCCAAGTTCATAATTGTGATCACTACATATTAGTGATGAAAGTATTTCAACTAGTACAGAATGTGAAATGTTTCGTGGATCTGGAAAACCCCCGACTATGTGGACTGTGACATTAACACTTTCTTTTGAAAAGAAGAAACGTTCGGAATTTCTGAAAAATGACCTGGCGCGCAATGGAGTATCCAGATGTCCTATCGAACAACCAACCGGACAACGTAAGACGACAATGTAACAGGACGTTGCATCATCAGAAGTTGTGTATTCTGGAATGATATTGTTTGCAGGTACATTGGTGACCAGTAGTGGTATAGTGGCCATTTCACCTTGATGGACGTAAACTGAGGAAAGACAATCCTTAACGTCGATTAACTCCCTTTTTTTGAAATCATCCGCGATACTCTTAATGAATGAACTTGACGAGAACAATTGAGCGAATACGTATATCGACGACTTTTCGCAATTATATCTCTTCCCATCGAAATTAAGCACCATAAACTCTTCAAGCAACCTAAAACTAATGTTGAATAGAACATCAGTAATAATCTAAAGCGATAAAACCATAGAATTATGAATTGTTAGCAATTTTGTTGTATTTCAACAGTGTACAAACTAGCGAGCAAAATGTTATGAAAATAAGGCCGTTTCTGAAAGAACATTTGGGGAATTTATACACCATGTACAAGATTAATAATAAACCCTCAGTTATTTACATCTGAAAGTATTAAGTATGTAAAAGTTTTATACAAAATAAATTAAGTAGATCATAATATACAGATCGATTTGGTCAGGACCACCCATTTAACTGAATATGGTTTATTTTAGCGGCCACCTGATTCGATTTTTGCAAAATAACACGATCTTTCGAATTCTCACTTTGCAGCAACCATGTTCGCCAGTCGCTTAGTAAAAAATATAGACATGATCTTCTAAATCTCAAAGCTTCTGACATCAACATCGAAACCACAGCTTCTCTTTGTCCAATTGAACCAGTGAGTTCATTCATGCGGTCAAATAACAGTACTGCATCTACTAAGTGGAAAAGATTAACGGTTAGATAATGTAAACGAAGGAACTAAAAGTCCTTGTACATACAAACCTACCTGTATAAGGCTGTCGAACCAAATGAATTAATTCGAACATAATTTTCTTGTTTAATTTAAAACTTTCCAATGACGATGCATTTCTAGTATCAAAAGTATTTGTTTTTTCAATAATTGCTTGGTTGGCGAATCTTGAGTGGTTTATTAAGGAAGGGGAATTGTCGGCATATGTGGGAGATGAAATCGCGCTTGATATTTCTTCACTGAAAGTATTATCCGAAGATCTAGGCGATGACAGCGGTGAAGATTTCGGCGAGAAAAAACGCCAATTTAAGTGATTAATATACGGAGGTAATGGACCTAAAAAAAGTTGACTGGCTGAATTCTATCTTACCTTTGACTCTTGCTTGAGGATTTTTGGTGGTTTGTGCAGACTTTTTTCGCCCAAAATTGAGCAAAACTGTATTCGGATTACAAGAATTAACTTGCAATGAATCCATCTCATCAACGAAACCTTCATCCGCGACGAAGGATGTAGACTTCCGTCGGAAAGGGTTTCCGAATGTATCCGACCGTTCAGGAGTTGGATTTATCTCCCTCAAAGGTGTTTCGACCTGCCGGGAATTTCTGTAGTTAACATAATCACCCATTAAGGCGACTGGTTGTTGATGAATCAAGTCAACTGCTCGGATGCTAGATGAACCATTTAGGAGGTTATCAAGTTCATGCCTCATTTTCCCCAAAACTACGCGCAACTTGGTTCGAGATATATTACAAGGTCGGAGAGAATTTGAATGAAGGCGCTTAGGTTTGATATACATCGATTTAAATTCACGTAGCGGCCACAAAGGTAAAGGCAATAAGGCTGATGGTAACTAAAACAAAACAAATAACTAAGGTATTTACTTACAGTAACAGTTGGGTTTGTGGGGCTGTCAGTTTGCGTCATACGCACGAAGTTATCGTATTCAATTTTAGCTGAATGCCGAAGCTTTTGCAAAGAATGTTTCAATTGATAAGGAAGTGCACGGTCAATAGCTTCAGGCTTAATCATCCCGACAAACCCTATTCGTTCAAACGCCTTCGCTAGGGGCTTTAAAAATCAGTAAAATCACAAGAAAAATACCATAAAGTAATATTTCGGTATGGTTCCTAGATAGTTCACAAACTGATGACCCCAGGCTTCCGTCATACGTTTATGATCACATATATCACCTTAAAATTTCATAACATATGCTGTGACTTACCAAGTAACTGAAGAAATACAGGATAATTGTAAGGAAGTATATGCAGATGTACTGACTGGAGATCACTTGATACTTTTAAATAACCAAACGGTGCATTCTGACTCTTTTTGATACCATAGCTGAAACACCGCCAAACCATATTTTGCTCCGACGAATTTAGAAATTCTTTCGTAAAATGTGATGGAGTCAACTCGTAACGGTCGACGGGGAAATACTCGGGCAACTCAGGTTCCACAACAGGAACTTTAGATACAAGGACTTCAGGATGTGCACTTCTAGGTGGCTTCAATGGAAATATAAAAATACTCTCGACATACCAACTCTGATGCTAGCATCTCATCATCAGGCCAAAATTGTTCTGGGATAGGCCAAGACGATGACCTTCCCATTAGCTTAACTGACATCAACTGCTTTACGAATTTCTCTTGGAGAGCCGCATCAACGCAGTCAGTAGACCTTCGTAATTTTAAAACCACGCCAGGTTGGCATTTTGTGACAAGAGAGTCAAGACATTGGTGGAGTTCACGACCGTCGTAAACATCAAAACTTTCACCGCCAGTTTTCTCCGCAAGTCTTTTAAGCGGCGAGATTGTTTCTGATCTTATGGAGTTACCACCATGAATATTACTGACAAATGCGGGAAAACGAAGTACCAGAGAATACATGCGGTAATCCCAACGGAAAGTCTCTTTTGTCAAAACATTCCCAAGAACGGCAGATTCTATGGAAGTTATAGATGCATCCTTTTTAGCATAATTAAAGAAATATGTCAAACTTACATTGAAAATCTGGCCATCAAAACTGTATGAGCCTATGCTAGTAGTAATACATATTATTACAGAGGGTTCAATACATGATGGATAAATCCCCTTAAAAAATATCAACTGATAAATGTTAAATACCATCCCATAATTTTCCAGTCCGAGTTGCAATCTATTTATATTTAACATCCGGAATGTTCTTTGAATACCAGTTGACAAATCAACTAAACCGTCTGGTTTTATATTATTTAAGGCAGAATGAAGTAACTGAAGATCAACATTCTGCTTCCAACCGGTAAGCTACAACAATTAAGAAGATTGTAATAACATACTTTGACATAACTTATGTCAGAATTCAAAGTAAGCACAAAATAACGATCTACTCTTGATTTGCTCATCCTTATCTACCAGTTAATGTTATTAAGATTATTCCATAAACAAACTTTGAAAAAAATCTCTATCGCAGATTTTGCTACGTCTAGTAACGTAGTGCCTTGAAAAGTGCGCTGGTTCATTGCTGCGCTGTTGTCAAGCAGAAAAACAATAACTGTCATCGCTAGCTACTCAAGGTCATACAGGCAAACCAGCCAATCACAAGGACACAACCACAATGCATACAGTAAAGCGCAGCACTCCTAATGCCATGATTGCCTGACACTGCATTATATATTATATCGAGCTGACAATATTGCATCCTGATTGGTCAAAATTTACAGCAGAGGCTCATATGGATATATTTGTTAAACACGCTGTTTTTTTAGCATAAGGTCTAATTTTCCTTAAATTATGGAATTAAAAAGCAATAGATAATATGCGGAAACAATAGCTTTCGTCAGTAATACATATTTTCAGTTCTAATTTAATCAATAATGTATTCAGTAATTATTTTCACTCTTTATGAGCCTCCAACAATCATATATCTATAGATGTGGGCCGTATGACTGAATATATTCATCTTTTACTAAAAAGACGAAGTGTAATAATTCGTGTTCTATAGTCGTTATTTTTATTTACATCTCTAATTCTCATCCATTACAGTATGTTGACCTACAATTATTTGACAACATTATGGAAACATCAGTTTACTTGCACCGTAGGAACAGCTACCATGGTAATATCAGTTTTTTAGACTTATAAATTAATAACTCTCAGCTCAAAGAAAGTTAGTTTTTTTAATTTTCGATGGGTTTCAGAATTCGAGCATTAACGTTCATATTGATATTGGAGTTTTAATAGTAACATTTTCTTACTTCTAAACGTGTCTGCATTTGAAATAAAAGGAATCTTATCACGTTTCTTTTTCTGCATATAAGTGACAGTGGAGATTATATCTCTATTACGATGTATTGGTAAGTTATTTTCATTCATTGAATGATACCTGAGATCTTAAATTAATATGACCATGAATTTAAGCAAGCACTTTTCTCTGAGAGAATCCGAAAGTAGCCTTGTGATGAAGAATTCAAATATCGTTAACCATACGTAGCTACTTATAAGTAGTAGGAATGCTATTTGAAAAATCAACAGCCTGGCGTTTCCAGTCATTTGTTTTCATTGGTTGTCTACAGTCGTCCGTTTTTGGTAAGCATCTTTTGATTTTCATTGTTGAGTGTACAGACTTCCTTATTTGATATACCAGGCTGACCTACGATAAGGGAATGATTAAAAGTAGACTGAGTTTTATTTCACGACAGTGATGTTTAATCTATACGTGCGTTTGTCAAAGTGTGAGTGAACACCTCCATAGAAAATGGACTCCAAGCATGTGGAGAACTTTAAATTCAAATTCACTTTATCCGAATTAAACAACCATTACATAAACCTGACTATGAATCATGGATTTTGAATTATTATATTAATCGATTTTATCTGTGGTAGTCTTTAAAATGTTTATAAGCCTTATAAGATACCTATATCTCCATATAAATCACATCACTTGTCTGAAAATTAAAGCTAAATAAACGAGAAGTGTTTAATCATTGATTCAAATATCATAAGTGTTTGAAATATGCGTACCTTTTTTTCTATATTCTATCCAAGTTCTTAATTATTCATTACACTAATTTTCCAATATAAGCAATCACATGAAAAAAAATTTCATCTATTTAAAAATGAATATCCTCTGTAAATTGATAGTTTCAAAAATAGATTTTGATTATCATAAGTTATCAATGAAGTAAATAAAAATAATATTACAAGAAGTTATCACATCAGATCACTACAGTCAAAGTTAATAAACATTGTAAGATCATTAACCACTTATCGAAAACACTGAGTGATGATTAGATTACTCTGTAGACATTTAACACTATTATGATAGTCTCTACTTACTCTTGTCATTCCAGGTTAGAGAGATGTAGACAAACGATTAAGAAAATGCATAAAATCAATTTTACATAACAAATTTTCAGTTAATCGTATTCTTCCCACATGGTTAGGTTTCAAGTATATTATCACAGTTATCTTCTAAGTCGCTCTTAAATATAGTGGAACAATGAAGCAATCCTGAGGTTATATTTAAGATGATGTCTTTATTAACTAAAATAGCTGTAATATGTTACGTATGCCCGATAACTATTTATCTCCACGTACAATATTGGTTCGAGTAAAAGTAAACTAGCCCCCAAACGAAAACATAGCATGAGTCCATGAAATCTTTAGCTTCCGGACTGTGTTGCGTTAGAAGATGCATAGGATTTGGTTGGGGTTCACATGAAAATCGCGATCAGTGTTGGAAAACTTTAAGTGACACGAATAAGAATCGGTCACAATAACTCAGATATATCCACTATTTTCAACCACTACGTTTTTAAATTTAATTGGCGTTGTTTGCTTGTATCTTCCCATTGTTGTTTAGGACTGCAGTTGATCAGTCTCTTGTTGGTATATGTGCATCCTGTGCGGATTGCCTCGATATTGCCTTAAGTCACAAACTTTATAGGCAAAGATGAACGTTGGCTAGCAGTGGAATCCAGGACCCTGGTTATGCCTGCATCCCAGAGTTGATGTTCACTCCAGGACTCAAACCCAGCACACCACATTGCACAAGCAAGTGGCTATCAGGACTCAGTAGCTAAGTGGATAACGTGGTGGCGTTTGAAGAGAATAGTATCGGATCCGAGTCCCGGATTGAATATCAACTCTGGGATGCAGGCACATCCAGCTGACGAGTCCCAAATAGGACGAAACGAGCGTCCTGGATTGCATTGCTAGCCACTATTCATCTTTGCTTATGAAACACTATGTTTTTAGTTTCAACTCTGTCTAATAAATACCTTCTTTTCATTCTGTCTTTTCGAAACATATTTCCGATGTTTAGTCTTTCTAACTATCATTTATTTTACTAACAGTTCAACCAATTTTTACTAATCTTGTTAATTTCATCTCTCTGTGCTGATGTGATATGAAAAAGTATGTTAACGCTAATCTTCCCAGACTCTACACCGACTATTACTTGAATAGACAGTAGCTATAAGTGACGGAAAATTCTTCCCTGTTAAGAATAATAATATGCTAGTGAATATGTATTCTGTCGTATTGTCATTGTTATCCTACCTCTATAAATTACATTGTCAATCTTTTTGATTAATGTGCTTTGAAACTCTTCCGGCAATTCACCTCTGTATACATTCAGAAATTTGCATTGCGACGATAAGTATATTTTTTGAGAAACAGCTGTTTGTTATGAAGAGAAAATTCGTGAAAATACAAATAGAAAGTACCTATTGAGGAAAGCTATTTTTCTATCGAGTGTGAAAATTATTAGCATTGATGTTTCTTTTGATGCTTCTTTTGATAATATTTATCGTCTAACTTCTTGTTTACTTGTTTATACTTATATGCTTTCAGTAATTAAAAGATACAGGACACATTTTATTCAAACTTTAGGTTAGACATGAACACCGTTGGATCAATCAGTTCATGATCTCATTTACAAACGTAATGATCTCCACAAACCCATACTGATAATTAATTTTACATTCAACGAGACCTCAACATGTTCTCTAAGTGTTCAGATATCAAATTTATACACATTAGAATACCAATTTATAATGTTTAATCCTTATTCAAAGACAGTTGCTTATTCTCGGAACTTCGACTTTCCGTTGGAACTGTTCAGTTTTTTCTGTTTAATATGTTCGAAATTCAAAGGAAGGAAGACGATAGATTTCCATTTCCTATCACTTGGTTAAAATTTCATAGTGGATACTTTTTAATTTGCCTTCTAATACCCTTCTGAGTACTTAATTTATAAATAGAATTGATTTAGTAAATATTACTTACTTTTTCATTGAAAAACCTAATAGCTATTTTCAGTGGATGACAGTAAATATACGTTATGACAGAATTTTGGTAATAGGATTCCAATGTAGTAACCTCATTGTAATTAGTTTCTGTTGCTCCATATTTCATGAGTGACTACTTCTGAAAATATCTTAAACAAGATGATACAACTAACCACTTTTAAAAACTTGAAATTAATTATTCTTGTTTTATTTTCATCTTGTTACATGTTTGATTAATAAATGGTGTTTTCAAACAGGTATGAACATGATCTCTAGCGTCTCTGAAAAATCATATTACAGTAATATCTTATGGATAATGTAGAAAATTATATGGATCTTATGTTTGGGTTTATCTGAACCTGTCTGATCTCAACACATCCATTATAGTGCAACCTGGCATCAATATTCTTTATGTAGTCAACTTTTTGAAGAGTACGTTTTTATGAATTACCTCAAACCAATATTAGCTAATAGTCGGTTGTTGTAATTCAAACTTTTTATCGTTAATTTTTGTAACAGCTAACAAAGTTGTTATGTTTAATTGTAAAAAATGAATTTCAGCACTTTAAACGTATTCTAAATAAAGAGAAGGCTATTTGTTTTATAATCATTTTCGCAGTATTCTATTTTCAATACTTTTAACTATAAAGCATTCATTGTTTGTTCAAGTAACACTACCAGCATAAATTTAAACAAATCCACTAGTTAGATATTCTCTTAATATATTAGAATGATTTATAATGATACTATGTAATTTATATGTGCTGATAAAGTACATCTTATGTATAAAAGAGAACATTTTCACTAAGATAATGAAATCTGTCCAAGTAACTCTCTTAAGGATCATCGTTAGCTTTTTGGATCATAGTGAGTCTTGAAACCTTATATGTATGTCTCGTCCCATTTGGGTCTCATCGGTTGAGTTTACCCGTTTCCCAGTGTTCATTTTCACGCTACTTTGAATATAGCATTTCATTTACCTCCAGTCTACATGTTTATTTATAAACATTATACACAAAAGAGAAACGAAATAATTCAACTGATAATGACAAAACAATATGACATTAAATGAATGAAAAACGATCATTTTTAACAGTGAAACAGATAACCTGTACACTTTTTTGTGTATGATGATTCATTTTCTCCGTCTTTTCAATAAATCACTTTATCAACAGTGAATATTTTTAAATTATTGATTTTGTCCAGAAAGGGAATTCCATATTACTCAAATATTGAATCGGTATAATTTGGGGAAAATTCTATTTAAAACATCTAATTACGTGTGTCTGTTGCCCCACATGGAAAAGCATAGATCGTCTACTGCCATTCTCCATCCAAATCTGTTCTAGGC